CCGCCTGAGGGCTGCCCGGGGCGCGGAGCCGGCGCCGGCGCGGCGCGGGCGCGGGAGGCGACTCGAGGCGCGATGTCGGTGCCGCTGCTCAAGATCGGGGTTGTGCTGAGCACCATGGCCATGTCACCAACTGGATGTCCCAGACGCTGCCCTCGCTCGTGGGCCTCAACACCACGAGGGCGCCGGCGGGGGTTCGGAGGCGGCTTCCCCGCGCGGCGGGGCTGCCCCTGCGCCCCGCGCCCCGCGCCCCCGGCCGGGCGAGCCCCCTTGCTTTGCCCGGTCCCTTCGCGGAGGTGGGGGTGCCAGCTCGGGGACTCAGGCTGCGGGTCCTCACGCAACTAATAGCAAGCCGCTCACCGATGAGGGCGCGGAGGCGGGGACTTGGGGACTTGGCCAAGGTCACTCAGCAAGTGCGGGGCGGAGGCGCCGCCGCCCGACCCCGGCCGGGCTGAGTCCGCTCCGGGCTCTGGGAACAGCCCGCCCTACTTTGTAGCCGCCGGGCTGCACCGCCCCGGCCGCCGGCCTGGGCGCGCCCGCCCTCCTCCGCCTCCGCGCTCCCGAGCCCCGAGACTCCTTCTCTCCCCGTCCCCACGCTGAGGTCCGGCAGAGGAGCGCGTCGCGCGGCCCGGCCAAGGCCCCTGGGCGCCGCTCGCTGCAGAGTGCACCCCGTCGCCGACCGCACGCCCCTTCCGCCATGCCTCCCCTCTCAGGCCCGGGCGCGGGGAGGCGCGCTGCCAGGGCCGCTTCGGGGCAGGGCTGACTTAGATGGTGGCTGGAGGGCGGGAGGAGAGGCTGGGCCGCCGCCACCTTGAGCTCCGGGCAGGGCGCAAGGGGAAGGGGCGCGTCCCGGGCCCGGAGGGAGGCTGAAAGGAGACGTGAAGGACACAGTCTCTCTCTGCTTCCCTTTTTGCTGTCAAGGGCAGAGATCTGGGAGGAGGCCTCTGGGTGACCCCCTCCTAGGCCCCCCCCTAGTCGCCTGCTGTTTCAAGAATGGCGTGCAGTGTTCCCTGCCTCTGGGTCCTGAGCTGCTGAGGTTGGAAATGAATGAAATGAAATGTATCCCTACTCTAGATTCTCCCCACCCAACTTCTCCTCCCCATCCCTGTCCTAAAAATAGCAGGGAGGTGACCTGAGGCGACTGGGCAGGCTGCAGGGGCCCGCGGGAGTGGGCAGGGACTGCGCTCAGGGAGTGTTTAGGCCACCACCTTGTGTACCTGGCGGTCAGGACCACCTGAGCTGGGCTGCAAGGTGACACCGGCCATTCATAGCTCTGGTTTCTTGGTGGCCCTTGGGTACACCTCAGGACCAAGATTGGATCTGATCCCTGCACATGTCACCAGAAACTTGGTAACATCCACCAAATGGCTGGTGGGTGGCAGCCCGTGCAGAGTCGGAATCTCGGCATGTTTGGGGCCGTCTGCGCCAGGCGGCCGGTGGGAAGGTGGCCACGGCTCAGGGTTGCAGCTCTGGGCTAACAAGCTGCTGGGTACCGGCTGTTACGGCTCTTCCAGTGGGTGCTTCGTCTCCGAGTGGCAGGGAGCAGCAGACAAGGCTGCGCCAGCCACCCCTGTCACCTTGTGGAGAGGTCTTATTTCTCAGTTACGTGCCCACTGGGAGTCAACCAGCACTTGCCTTCCTGCCTCGCTCCTCTCCCAGCTCACCGCCTGTGGTCTCCTCTCCCAGCTTTTCAACCGATCGATTTAGTCAGATGCCCAAACTCGTGTCCCTTGAATGTAAAAATCCCTTGAATTTAAAAAAATTGAGAATCGTGCCTGTTTGACTCCCTTCCAGCCCTAGGGACCCTGCCCGTCGCTTTGTTCCCAGGGACCCTTTGCTCCCTGTGGTCAGAACGTGCCTTAGACCATTTCTGTTCTCCCCACCCTGGGTCGGATGGAGAGTCTTCCCTGGGTGTGCTCCCACCTTTCTCACTTTCTCTCCCCCCTCGCCCCACTGGCCCCCTCTCCAGGTGTTGCCCACCAACCCTGAGGAGAGCTGGCAGGTGTACAGCTCCGCCCAGGACAGCGAGGGCAGGTGTATCTGCACAGTGGTCGCCCCCCAGCAGACCATGTGTTCGCGGGATGCCCGCACAAAACAGCTGAGACAGCTACTGGAGAAGGTGAGTCTGTGCAGGTGTGTGTGTGTGTGTGTGTGTGTGTGTGTGCACGTTGTGTCCACGCCAGCAGCAAGGTGATGCTGGCCTGCAGGGTCCGTCCCAGCTCCAAGGCCTCACTCTCTCCTGGCATTCCCACTGGGAATATCTGGGAATGAATGAGTGAGTGAGTGAGTGAGTGAATGAATGAATGAGTGAATGAGTGA